CCCAATTTTGGGTCTGAAATCCCCAATTTTGGGTCTGAAATCCCAATTTTGTGTTCCCAAACCCCGATTTTGGGTCAGAACTCCCAAATTTTGGGTCCCTAAACTCCAATTTTGTGTTCCCAACCCCAATTTTGAGTCCCAAACCCCAAATTTGGTCCCTACACCCCAATTTTTGGGTCCTAAACCCCAATTTTTTATTCCCAACCCCAATTTTGGGTCTGAAACCCCAATTTTGTGTTCCCAACCCCAATTTTGAGTCCCAAACCCCAAATTTTGGGTCCCTAAACCCCAATTTTGGGTCAGAACCCCCAAATTTTGGGTCCCTAAACCCCAATTTTGAGTCCCAAACCCCGAATTTTGGGTCCTAAACCCCAAATTCGGGTCCCAAACCGGAGCAGGGATCCCCTTTTCTACCAAACGCCCCAAACTCCAGATTTAAATTAAAAAAATCCCAAAAAAAACCCCCAAAAAATTAAAAAAAAAATCAAAAAAATTCCCAAAAATTCCCCCAAAAATTCCCCAAAAATTCCCAAAAAATTCCCCAAATTCCCCCAACCCCCCCAGGCTCAGCCCCCGGGCCCTGGCGCCCCTCACGTTGTTTTTGGCGTTGGGTTTCATGGTGATGGTGCCGAAAATCTCCTCCCCGCTCTTCACCGTCAGGTATTCCTCCATGTAGAACACCGTCTGCTTCCAGTGCGTGTACGGCGACTCGGGGCCTGCAAAACGCCCCAAATCAGCCCCAAATCCACCCAAAATCCACCCAAAATCCACCCAAAATCCGCCCCATTCTCCCTGATTTTTGAAGCTTTTTTTTCTGATTTTTTTTACATTTTTTTCTGATTTTTTTGCCTTTTTTTTATGATTTTTTTATCCATTTTTTCTCATTTTTTAGCCATTTTTCCCCCCCGATTTTTGTCCTTTTTTCCATGATTTTTTAAGTTGTTTTTTCACATTTTTCAGCCATTTTATCTTGGTTTTTTTGGCCTATTTTTCCTGATTTTTTATGCATTTTTTGTGATTTTTTAGCCATTTTTTCCAATTGTTTTAATATTATTTTCCTTGATTTCTTAATCTATTCTCTCCTATATTTTCAGCTCTATTTTTCCTGGTTTTCCACCTTTCCCCCGAGATTTCAACTCATTTTTTTCCTGCTCTTTTACCATTTTTATCTGATTTTTTAAAGTTTTTTTTCTCCATTTTTTAGTTGCTTTTTTTCCCTCATTTTCCAGCTGCTTCCAGTGCGTGTACGGCGACTCAGGGCCTGCGAAACGCCCCAAAATCAGCCCCAAATCCACCCAAAATCAGCCCCAAATCCACCCAAAATCCACCCAAAATCTGCCCCATTTTCCCTGATTTTTTAAGATTTTTTTTCTGATTTTTTTACATTTTTTTCTGAATTTTTTGCCTTTTTTTTACCGATTTTTACCCATTTTTTCTCCTGATTTTTAGCTTTTCTCCAAGATTTTTTAAGGCATTTAGTCTGATTTTTTTAGCCATTTTCCACCCTATTTTTTAGTGATTTTTAAGCCATTTTACCTCGATTTTTTTGCCTATTTTTCCTGATATTTTTGGCCTTTTTTTCCCCATTTTTAGCCATTTTTTTCTGTTTTTTTCTCCATTTTTCCCCGTGATTTTTAGACTTTTTTCCATCATTTTTTAAGCTGTTTATTCTGCTTTTTTACCCATTTTTCCCCCTGATTTTTAGCTTTTTTCCCATGATTTTTAAAGCTATGTGTTCTGATTTTTTTATCCATTTTTCCCCCAATTTTCAGCCATTTTATCTCAATTTTTTGGCCTTTTTTTCCCGATTTTTTCCCCATTTTTTCCAATTTTTTATCCATTTCCCCCCTGATTTTCAGCCGTTTTTCCATTATTTTTTCAAGCTATTTATTCTGATTTTTTTAGCCTTTTTTTCCCAATTTTTAAACAAATTTTCCTGATTTTTCAGCTATTTTTTTCCAGCTTTTTTCCCCCAATTTTTCTGCTTTTTTTCCCGGATTTTTTTTTCCATTTCCCCCCAGTTTTCACCTCTTTTTTCCCAATTTTCCACCTTTTTTCCCCAATTTTTTAAGCTCCTTTTCCCTGATTTTTTTACCCATTCCCCCCCAATTTTTCACCCATTTTTCCTGTTCTTTTCCCTATTTTTCCCATTTTTCCCCCTTTCCCACCGTTTTTCCCCCATTTCCCAGGCCCAAAACCCCTCAATAAATTGGGCTGGGAAATAAAATAAAAAAAAAACCCCAAAAATCCCCCAAAATTTAATCCCAAAATTGGGAATTATTTAAACCACGCCCCCTTATTACATAACCCCCTTTAGGCCACGCCCCTTATTACGTAACCCCTTTAGACCACGCCCCTTATTACATAACCCACTTTAGGCCACACCCCCTATTACACAACCCACTTTAGGCCACGCCCCCTCATTGCACAACCCCTTTAGGTCACGCCCCCTCCGTGCCGCGCCATTTAGGCCACGCCCCCTTCACGGTGCGCCATTCAGGCCACGCCCCCTTTTAGGCCACGCCCCCTCCCTAGGGCGCCCCCTGCTGGCCGAACCCACCCGAACTCCAAATCCAAACCAAAAAAAACCCCAAAAAATTCCCAAAAAAATCCCAAAAAATTCCCAAAAAATTCCCGAAAAATTCCCGAGGTCCCCCGGGGTCCCGGAAAGGGCGGAATTGTCCCGGAATTACTGGTGGAGAAGCCGGTGCGCTTGTGGCAGCGCGTGAACTCGATGTTGAAGTAGGCGACCAGGGCGTGCACGTAATCGTTGCGCTTCACCTGCAGGCAGAAGGGCGCCGTGAAGGTCAGCTCCTCCACCTTGACCGTGTAGATGTCCACTTCCTGGGGGGAAAAACGGGGAAATGGGGAAAAAATGGGGAAAAACGGTGAAAAAACGGTGAAAATGGGCGAAAAAATGACGAAAATCGGTGAAAAAATGACGGAAATGGGTGAAAAAATGACGAAAATCGGGTTGGAAATGGCCTAAAATGACCCAAATTTGAGCCCAAGCCCAGCTCCTCCACCTTGACTGTGTTGATGTTCAGATCCTGGGGGAAAAATGGCAAAAATTGGGAAAAAATGGGGAAAAAATGGTGAAAAACGGTGAAAAAGGTGAAAATGGGTGAAAAAATGATGAAAATGGGTGAAAAAATGACAAAAATCGGGTTGGAAATGGCCTAAAATGACCCAAAATTGAGCCCAAGCCCAGCTCCTCCACCTTGACTGTGTTGATGTTCAGTTTTTGGGGGGAAAAACGGGGAAATCGGGAAAAAATGGGGAAAAAATGACAAAAAATGGTGAAAAAATGACAAAATTGGTGAAAAAATGACAAAAATCGGGTCGGAAATGGCCTAAAAATGGGAAAAATGGAATCAGGAATGGGTTAAAAATGGGGAAAAGTGAGAAAAAATGGGAAAATCCAGAAAAAATGGGTCAGGAATGGGTTAAAAATGGGGAAAATAGGGAAAAAATGGATCAGAAATGTCCCAAAATCTGGGAAAAATGGGAATAAATGGGTAAGAACCATCCCAAAATTTGGGAAAAATGGGAAAAAATGGATCAGAACTGTCCCAAAATCTGGGAAAAATGGATCAGAAATGTCCCAAAATTGGGTAAAAATGGGGAAATCTGGGAAAAACGGATCAGAAATGTGGGAAAATTGGGAAAAAATGGGAAAAATGGATCAGAAATGTCCCAAAATCTGGGAAAAATGGATCAGAAATGTCCCAAAATTGGGGAAAAATGGGAAAAATGGATCAGAAATGTCCCAAAATTGGGGAAAAATGGGAAAAATGGATCAGAAATGTCCCAAAATCTGGGAAAAATGGATCAGAAATGTCCCAAAATTGGGGAAAAATGGGAAAAATGGATCAGAAATGTCCCAAAATCTGGGAAAAATGGATCAGAAATGTCCCAAAATTGGTTAAAAATGGGAAAAATGGATCAGAAATGTCCCAAAATTGGGGAAAAATGGGAAAAATGGATCAGAAATATCCCAAAATTGGGGAAAAATGGGAAAAATGGATCAGAAATGTCCCAAAATCCTGGAAAAATGGGAATAAACGGACCAAAACCATCCCAAAATCCGTGAAAAAAATCAAAAAAACCCCCCAAAAATCCCAGAAAAAAAAACAGGAAAAATCCCGGAAAAATGCAGGAAACCCCCCCCAAATCCGGGATTTTTTCCCAGCCCCGTTCCCGCTGGATTTTCCCGGTTTTTTTCCGGGAATTCCCACCTTGATGAGGCAGGCGTTGGTCACCAACTGCTTGGGGTCCACCACGTCCACCAGCGGCTCCTTGATGGCCACGTCCTTGATGCAGGACATGTCGAAGCCGTAAACGTTCTCCCACCCTGCGGGAAAGAAAACCCGGGAATTTCGGGAAAGAACTCCGGGAAAAACCTCGGCATCGCCGGGAGAAAAATCCCGAGGCTCCAGCCCCCAAAATTCCATTTTTTATCCCATTTTCCCCCATTTTTTCCTCACTTTTTTCCCATTTTTTACCCCATTTTTCCCCCACTTTATTCCCATTTTTTCCCATATTTTTCCCACTTTATTCCCATTTTTTCCCATATTTTTCCCACATTATTCCCATTTTTTCCCCATTTTTTCCTCATTTTCTCCCATTTTTTCCTCATTTTTTTCCCATTTTTTCCTCATTTTCTCCCATTTTTTCCTCATTTTTTTCCCATTTTTTCCTCATTTTTTCCCATTTTTCCCTCATTTTTTTCCCATTTTTTCCTCATTTTTTCCCATTTTTCCCTCATTTTTCTAATTTTTTTCCCATTTTTCCCCATTTTTTTCCCCATTTTTCTCCCATTTTATTCCCACTTTCTTCCCATTTTTTCCCCATTTTTTCTCCCCATTTTTTCCCCACTTTATTCCCATTTTTCCCCATTTTTCCCCCATTTTTTCCCATTTTTTTCCCAATTTTTTTCCCATTTTTTCCCCATTTTTTTCCCATTTTTTCCTCATTTTTTCCCTTTTTTTTCCCATTTTTTCCTCATTTTCCCCCCATTTTTTCTGCCTTTTCTCGGTTGTTTTTCCCAGAATTCCCCAAATTTATTTTTGGGAATTCCCACCTGGATCTTCCCTCAAAATTTGGGATCCCTGGGAAAAATCCCCGAGGATCCAGCCCTCAAAAAATCCCAGAAATCCCAAAAAATATCCCCTAAAATTCCCCAAAAAATCCCCCCAAAATTCCCCCAAAAATCCCAAAGAAATTCCCAAAAAAATTCCCAAAAAATCCCAAAGTTCCCAAAAAAATTCCCAAAAAATTCCCACAAAAAATCCCCCAAAAATCTGCAAAAAATCCCCCAAAATTCCCCAAAAAATCCCAGAAATTCCTAAAAAGATCCCTGAAAAAGGCCCCCAAAATCCCCAAAAAAATTCCCAAAAAAAACCCAAAAATCCCCAAAAAAATCCCAAAAAACCCCCAAAAATCCCCAAAAAAATCCCAAAAAATTCCCAAAAACCTCCAAAAATCCCCCCAAAAATCCAAAAAAATTCCCAAAAATCCCCCAAAAATTCCTAAAAAACCCCCAAAAATCCCAAAAAAATTCCCCAAAAATCCCCCCAAAAATTCCCCAAAACCCCAAAGAATTCCCAAAAAACCCCCAAAAAATCCCCAAAAAATTCCCAAAAAACCCCCAAAAATCCCCAAAAAAATCCTAAAGATGCCCCAAAAATGCCCCAAAAAATTCCCAAAAAATCCCCAAAAAATTCCCAAAAAACCCCCAAAAATCCCCAAAAAATTCCCAAAAAACCCCCAAAAATCCCCAAAAAATTCCCAAAAAACCCCCAAAAATCCCCAAAAAATTCCCAAAAAACCCCCAAAAATCCCCAAAAAATTCCCAAAAAACCCCCAAAAATCCCCAAAAAAATCCCAAAAAAATTCCCAAAAATCCCCCAAAAAAACCCCCAAAAATCCCCCCAAAAATAAAAAAAAAAATTCCCAAAAATGCCCCAAACATCCCCCAAAAAATCCCAAAAAATTCCCAAAAATCCCCCAAAAAAACCCCCAAAAATCCCCAAAAAAATCCCAAAAAAATTCCCAAAAATCCCCCAAAAAATCCCAAAAAATTCCCCATAAATCCCAAAAAAATCCCCCACAACCCCCCCCTTCCCCAGCATTCCCAAATCCCCGGGAATTGCGGGAATTGCGGCGCTCACAGTGGATTTTGTAGTCCTTGTACTGCCGGTCCTCGATGGCCGTCACGTAGAGCGTGGCGCGGTCGGGGAAGATCAGCCCGTCCGGGGTCTGCAAAATTCCCAAAAATTCCCCAAATTCCCGAGCTTTCCTGGGGCTCCCCGGGATTTTTCGGGATGCTCAAAAACCCCGGGGGATTCCCGGATTTTTTTTTCGGGAATTTTGGTGGATAAAGGGAGATTTAAGGGGAAAAATGAGAATTTGTTTTGGTGGTTTTTTGGGTTTTTTCCCAATTTTTTTTTGGATTTTGCGGGGTTTTCCCAGGAATTTGGGGTTTTTTTCCCAGGATTTTGAGGATTTTTTTAGGCCAAGATCCCAAATTTTTAAGGGGAGAAGCAACAAAAACCGGGGAATTTGGGGGTTTTGGGATAAATTCCCGGGATTTTGGGTGTGATTTCCTGGGATTTTT